TTCGCTGTGTGCTGTGATAACTCTGCCCCACAGCCAAAAATACTTGCCGAATAAACCCTGTGTCCTACGCTTGAGGTGTGGGGTGCTCGTGCTCATCACCCCTGCAGCATCTCCCATCCCTAAAGCCCTCTGGGGTTCTCGTGGGGCTGGAGAAGCTGCAGGGACGCACCAGCACGCTCGTCTCTGTTTCCGTGGATGAAAGGCGAGCCCCCAGAGCAGCCCCAGCCCTCGGCGAGACATTTGGGAAGTTAAATCCCCCTTTTCAGCTCCTGGAACCCCGGAGCACCCGGGGTGGCAAAGGAGCTCCGGCACGCAGCAGGTGGGAGCTGTGCTCACCCTCCCCTGGGAGCAGCACCCAGCAGAGGGGTGGGTGCCCCATCCCCTAACGCCTTTCCTCCCCTTTTCCCCTTCCTCCAGGGGAGATATTTGAGCTGAAAGCCGAACTCAACAGCGACAAGAAGGAGAAGAAGAAGGAGGCTGTGAAGAAGGTGATAGCATCCATGACTGTCGGCAAAGACGTCAGGTGCGTGGCGGTGCTGTGCCAGGGATATCTGGGCCGGGAGGTCGCCCGGATGGCTTGTGGGCTCCTGTTTTCCCTTGTTGCCTCCGAGGGGTTTTCATGCTGGCTTTTGTCTCGGGCGAGGACGGAGTGAGCTGCTGGCCACAGCTATACCTCTTGCTATGGGAGGAAAATGTGTAAGCGTGGCCATCTGGCAGGCGGGGGCTTGCCTGGCTTTGGTAGTAATCTGGCTGAAAGAGGATTGGTCTGGCTGCCAGATAAGTTTGTTGGGATTATTGCCGCTTCCTTCAAGTGTTGCTAAAAACAAGCAGAACCCCTCTCTGAGCCTTTACGGCAGAGGGTCAATGTCTCTGCCTTGGTGTCGATAAGCCTTTTGCAGCCACTCCAGTCCAAAAGGTCGGGCGGCTGCTTTTCCCTCTTCTCCTTTATCTGTCTGACCGAGCAGCACGTGGCCCCTCCGTCTCCTCCTCCCTGCCCGGACCTGTCCCCACACACCCTTGGCATTACACGCAATGACAGCACTTTGCTTTCAATGGTTGATTTGAGAGTAGATGGAGGAAGACCACGGTACGAGCTCTGTATTTGGAAAACCGGTGTGTCCCCAGCTTCCAGAACACTCGCAGCAGCAGGTGATGCTCTGTTTTGGGGCTACCGTGGAGAAGATGATACCAGACATGGCAGGGACTTGCCTGAGGCTGGTCAGTGCTTGGGAGAACCTACATCGATTGGAAAGGAAATATTGGCTGTGGCAGCCCATTTTTTTTCATGTGTGCATATTTTAGGCTACAAGAAAGAAGTTTACTAAGTTCACCCCTCCCCGGGAGGTGCCAGGAAAGCCTGGTTTAGCCTGGGGTGAGAGCAGCCGAGGTGGGTGCCAGCTCTGCCGGCAGCAGGAGCTCTGCGAGAGAACTAGTGACGTGCGGTCCCCCGGGCTTAGGGGGTCTGGGCTTGATCCTGTAAGCCATGGCTGGGTTTGCGGTGGCAGAGAAGCTTCCAGGAGCCAAGGGACATCCGTCGGGGTGGGCTAACTCCTGCGTTAGCTCTCTGATCTTGATTGCCCCTCTGATCTTGATTGCCTGGTGGTGGTTTAATAGTCTAACTGGGCTGTGTGTATCTTTTATAGTCTAATTGGTCTGTCTTTATTGTCTGTGGTGAAACAGCATCTCTGGCATCCCACAGCTCTAGGGTGTTTGGGAAGGGGAAGCCCCCAGCTCCAGGCAGGCAGCTTGGCAGCTCCGCTCCGTCCTAGCAGAGCACTGTTCTGCTGCGGGGCTCGCCCGGAGGAGCGGGACTCTTCCTTACACCCAGCCCTGGGTGTTTACTTCTCTAACGTGACGTTTCTAGCGCAGGACGTGGGGCGAATGCTCAGCAGTTTGCAGCAGGACAACGTCCGCAAAAGCAGAGGACGGTTTTGGTAGGGCTGTGCGGGAGGGATCGTGCAGGAGGTGAGGGGGGAACGGCTCCTCTCGCAGGCACTAGAGGCTTTCGCACCATCCCGTGACGGCTGGGTGATGTTGCACCTTCTCCCAGGGCAGTGGATGTGCACTGGAGCTGGGATACAGCAGAGCCGTGTGGGAGAGCTCAGTTTCTGTCCATTAGGGGCCATTTTGAGCTGCTCTTGATACAGATCTGTAAAGAAAAACCCACTGGAGATGGGGAATTTAGCCACATCTGTTGCAGAGTGGGCTCAGGTCCTGGGAGAGCCCAGGGTCTTCTGGCTTCAGGAGTGGGTTGAACCCTGGGAAGGGGATAGCCATGCTCCTGGGGAAGTGTGGGGTCCCATAGGCAGCGGCGTCTCCTTCCTCCGGCTCAGCAGCGTGGCCGTGTCCTGCCTTCACGAAGGTGCTTTGTGTTTCAGCGCTCTCTTCCCGGACGTGGTGAACTGCATGCAGACAGACAACCTGGAGCTGAAGAAGCTGGTCTACCTCTACCTGATGAACTACGCCAAGAGCCAGCCGGACATGGCCATCATGGCAGTCAACACCTTCGTGAAGGTGAGAGGAGAGGGCTGCGTGCCTGAGAGCCGCACGCTGCGGCGGGTCGGTTCAGCCCACCACGTGCATCCCTGCTTTCATGTGAGGCCACCACACTAAGCTGCTATGTACCCGGCTCCAAAGAAGGAAACGTGGGCAGATTTCCAAAGCCTCTCTCTTCGGGAGTAGGGTCTTCCCTAGCTCTAGATAACTGAGCAAATTTGTCCAGTAATGCAGAAGAAAAACACTTTCTTGGCAGCCGTACCGTGCCACTTGCTCTGTCAGTGGCAGCTTCGGTTGTGGGCAGCTCCCGTGATCGAACTGCCATCATGTGAGCTTATGCGCTGAAGTCTCTGCAGCTGAGAAAGCCCTCGTGATCTTCCAGTTGCAGTTGGGAACTGACGAGCGTGTTAGGAGCCAAGATATTGCCAAAGCACTTTGTGAAAAGGTTTGGTGGGCATTAGAGGGAGTTTTGACTTTTTAGGAAAAAAAAGCCCACACAATAAACCCGATAGATGCATTTCCCAGGTCAGGTGGCCGTTCTGCAGGGTGGCAGCTGACTTCAGACACCTGCTGTAAGGGATGAAGACATCAGATTCCTGGAGGTGTGTTTGGAGTGATGGTGTTAAAACTCTGTGGGTGCCAGGTTGCGGAACAAGAGATCAAACCTCTCTCTTGGGTGACTTATTCTTTAGAGCCGAGTGTTAAAACCTCTAGACTTCGGGTACACGAATGAGAATGGAGGTCCCGAAGCCACCACAGATGCCTGTGATTCAAGGAGAAGCGGCCCTGGAAATCTAACCTCCCTCTCTCATCCCCACAGGACTGTGAGGACCCAAACCCTCTGATCCGGGCTCTGGCTGTGCGGACCATGGGCTGCATCCGCGTGGACAAGATAACGGAATATCTCTGTGAGCCCCTGCGGAAGTGCCTGAAGGACGAGGACCCTTACGTGCGCAAGACAGCAGCCGTCTGCGTGGCGAAGCTCCACGACATCAATGCCCAGCTGGTGGAAGACCAGGGCTTCCTGGACACCCTTAAGGACCTCATCTCGGACTCCAACCCCATGGTGATTATTTTTTGCCTTCTCCATCCTCCCTTCTCTTCATTCGAATGGCAGTAAATGCTCTCCCTTCATCTTTACGTGCTGACTCCTTTCCTCCCGTGCTCCCCTTCACTCTCTTTTTGGTGCTTAACAGACCATTTTTGGGGACAGCTGTTTCTGAGGGCTGCAGGCTGTGTTCCTTGTCCTGTAACCCTGTCTCCTGGATGGAAGGTTGCTCCGATTCCTTGGCAATGCGTTATTAGTCTGTTCCCAGTGGAGAGGAGGCTGCCTGGGCCAGCTTGGAGCAGGGGATGTGGCAGAGGGGGGGCTGATGCTTGGCTCTGGTACCACGTAGCTGGCGGCTTTTGCCTCTGGTGAGGGTTTCCTAGCAGCTGGGCTTTGGCCAGCGTTAGTCTCCCTGCCTTTTCCCAGGCGTGAGAAACTTTAAAGCCTGCTTTCCCCAGGGTTTCTCTTCCCCCAGCTTTTGCTGCTCTTCAGATCTTGCCATGGGTGTAGCAGCGAGTCCGGGAGCTGCTGCAGAAAGCGATGGGGCTCCACAGAGCAGCCCGACTGCCCGGGGAAGGGGAGCTAGAGCGGGCTCCTCCGCGCCGGGCACGGGGCCAAGGCTGACTCCGGTTGAACATGTGCGAACCGTTGGAGATGTGGCGTGGGCGGTGGGACCGTGCTGGCGGTGATTGCTCATCTCCTGAGGATCAGCCGGTGGGGAGGAGAAGCTGGTGCCCAGATGTTGCTGGGATGCGAAGTGCTGATACAGAGGATGCAGCTCATCCGCTTGCACCAGCTTTCCTCCAGGCTGTTGAACTGCATTTGGTGTCACCTAATGCTTGCTGTCACCTAACACGTGCCCTGTCCCCTCTGGCAGGTAGTGGCCAACGCAGTAGCGGCTCTCTCGGAAATAGCAGAGTCCCACCCGAGCAGTAACCTTCTGGACCTCAACCCCCAGTCCATCAACAAGCTGCTCACGGCCTTGAACGAGTGCACCGAGTGGGGCCAGATCTTCATCCTGGACTGCCTGGCAAACTACATGCCCAAGGATGACCGGGAAGCCCAGAGGTGAGGGAGGCTTTGGGTGCTGCTGGAGCAGCGATGACTTCAGGGCACCACGGACCAGCCGGAGTGGGACTGGAAAGGGGAGGGGGACAGGCGGGTATCAACACTGCCCGTTCTCCAAATATCTTCATCCTCCTCACCCTTGGTATCCCACTGCGGGAGGTGAGACAGCGGGCATCTGCCAGCCACTGTGCCTTGGGCACAGCCATCTGGGGACTGCTGTGGTCCTGTAGTGAGCCCTGTCCCCTTGCTGGCACGGGGATTGTGCTTCTCAAGCTGCTTCAAAATGTGCAGCAGGGGAGCACAGGCACTAGGGAGCTCGGAAGGGGGGTCACTGCGATAGGGTTTTGTAAAGGCTGGGAAATAACCATCATCGGGGCATCTAAGAGCCAGTTTAGCGTCTCTTGGGAAGGTGTCGCTCAGCTGTCCTGCTGCAAACTCTGCCAGTGCCTTGTTCTTCTTCGTCGGTACTGGCAGCAATGTTTAAGCAGGCAGATGGGCTGTGATCGTTTTCTTTCCCGTCTCCTTCCCCCTCACCCCTGACACCTCCAGCATTTGCGAGCGGGTGACGCCCCGGCTGTCCCATGCCAACTCGGCGGTGGTGCTCTCGGCGGTGAAGGTGCTGATGAAGTTCATGGAGATGCTGTCGAAGGACTTGGATTATTACGGCACGCTGCTAAAGAAGCTGGCCCCGCCGCTGGTCACCCTGCTCTCCGCAGAGCCCGAGCTGCAGTACGTGGCTCTCCGCAACATCAACCTCATCGTGCAGAAGAGGTGGGTGCCCCGACGCGGCAGCAGGGACAGCCTGGCTCGGGTTTTCCCTCTTCCCTATGGCGCACTTCCCAATGCGTCAAACCCTCTGCCTGCAGCGGTGTCGGGGCTTTGCTGACACAACCCGTCATAGGAGGTTTTTTCTTCTCTATTATCTAAAATCCAGGGGCTGGGCACAGAGAAGCATGAGAGTTAATGGGCAGGGAGCTAAGCAGGGATCTCCAGGAGGGGTTTATTTTACTTTATTGTTTATTTTGGGGGAGCAAAGGATGGAAAGGCAAAAAACTGAGACTTTGGTTTAGTCATTAGATGTCTAGTGAGGAATTTTTGTGAGATCAGCTTGTTTCTATGTAGTCACCCTCTTTGAATAAGCGCTGAGAGTCCTTTTGTCCCTTTGCTGATCTGAAATTGCTGGTGGGCAGGAGATGTCCGAGGCCCCACACATGTGCCCGGACAGAACTGGCCAGCTGGAGAGCCGTGCTCCGCAGTGACAGCCGCAGTCAGATGGTTTGTTGTCCTACCAGTTATCGCTGTGGTTGTCTATTAAAAATAGCAGCAACTTCTGGGAGAAGTGGAAAGCAATTAGTGTCCCTGGGAGCGGGAATGTGGAAGGCAGGTTGGCTCCTTGGAGCTGGACCTGACCTGTCCCTTCCCCAGCTTAGAGAGAGGATGATCTGGTGAGAAAGGTCCAGCCTAGCCCTGCGGTCTGGGTTTGCATCTCTGCTCCCGCAAGACGTCCCTTCCAACCTTGGCAAGACAAACGTCCCCTGTTGCCTTGCGTCTGGTCTTTGTTTGCGGCAAGGTTGTGCTCTGTCCCCTGCGCGCCAGCAAAGGGGAGCCAAGGGACAGAGTCCTGGGGGGATAATTATGGTATCTCGGATTCCTTGGCATTGAACGGGCCCCTAAAACCTTGTGCTTGTGGCCAAGGAGCCTTGTCCTTCTGGCCCAGAGCTGCTCGCTCTCCGGCTCTGGGTTTCCCCAGCTTATGTCCTCGGTGTCCTTAAGCCTTCACCATCCCAGCTCCAGCCTCGGCCGGGGAATGATGATTTATGCTTGTAGCTGGCTAATGGAGTCATTAATTTGCACGGACTCGGGGCATTAGCTGGCTGAAGGGGCAGGCAAGCGAATCCCCATCTGTCTCCTGACCGGCGTGCAACTTTCTGGGGAGGACAACTCCCTTTCTGCACTGCTTTAGCTGCTGGTCGCTGCCTGGGTCAGAGCCTGGAGGTGGGAGCAGAGCTCAGATCTTGCTTCTGCTGCTGGAGAAATCATCTGATAGCAGTATTGGGTGTCCAGAAAGCTCTGGAGAAAACCATGGTTTCTGGAAGATTTTGGATGTCTGTCTTTGTGGTCAAAGTGGAGCGTGTGTCTCCCTTAATCACTGCCTCTCGTTGTCCTCCAGGCCCGAGATCCTGAAACACGAGATGAAGGTTTTCTTTGTCAAGTACAATGACCCCATCTACGTCAAACTGGAGAAACTGGACATCATGATCCGCCTGGCTTCCCAGGCCAACATTGCTCAGGTCAGGGTCTGCCTGACTGTGCTGGGTGGGCACCACGGGGGGCTCTAGCCCCGCGGGGAGGGGATTTGCCCGAGAAATCCTAGACCCAGCTTTGCAGGATGCTGATGGATGCTGTACCACCCAGTCTGCTTCTGCTGGGTCACTGCCCCGCTCTTCTGGTGGCTTTTCTTGCAGCTGGGCTCTCACTGTGTTGTCCCCTCCGGTAGGTGCTGGCAGAGCTGAAGGAGTACGCCACGGAGGTGGACGTGGACTTTGTAAGGAAGGCGGTTCGAGCCATCGGCCGCTGTGCCATCAAGGTGGAGGTGAGGGCTGGGTCGCTTCGGGTCCCGATGGCAGCTGTGGCTGGGCAAGACGTCGCTCTCCAGCACGTGTTGGATGAGCTGGGGTCATCCCACCCCAGGAGTTAGCGCTGCCCCCACAAGCTAGAGCCTTCGTGGGCCTGGGGATGAGCCACAGTTGTCCCACAGGGCACGTACGGGCTGTAAGGAAGGTATTGCATCCCCTGACCCTTTGCCGCTGGAGCTGGTTTAGGATCCCTGCCCGCTCCGTTGCACAGCCGGCTGCCTGCAGCTGTGCCTGATGTGTTAATGCAGCAGATGATAGAAATGGCTTGTTCGGGGACTGCGGCGCAGGCTGGGACTAATCCCTTACCGAGGGGCCAGGAGGCTTTGTTTCCCCTCGGGGGTAATTTGAAGAAGGGGATTATTAAAAACCTGGCTGTGGCTCTGCGTGGCCCCTATACAGGCAGGCTCACAGGCTAGGTCCCGTAGCTTTCAGCCAGCTGATGTTGCACCGGGTTTACTGCGGAGCGTCCTCCATCCCATGGGACAAACAGCTCGGTACCAGTGAGCCGGGCACCGGTCAGAGGC